GCATAAACAATACAAAACATACAAGAGAGAAAGCAAGAGCATGATCTTGATCTAGACACCAAGATGTCTAAATGCATGGTAAATGCCTCTTTTTATAAGCTAAAATTGGAAACTATTGATTTGATAACTAATTGATGAGTAAAGCAATGAAAGCATCAGCATGGTTAAACATTGCATTCATTCAAGCAGACATTGTAGAGACCTGAAGTTCCTCTCCAAATGTTTTTCCAATGATGTCCTTTTGGGCTAAAGCTTTAGGGACGACCTCCAAAACTTGACTACCTCCTAAAAATATAGGTATTGACACACCTCCTATTAACACCAGATTGCCTCCCTCATACACTAAAGGAATCTTTCTCTCAGCTAGCACTTTACCAAGATGATTTGCTGATTCTAAAAACTCATTTTGTTTCCCAGGACTAGATCTATCGAAAACATAAATATTTTTTATGTGATGACTTGAGGAACTTGTCATTTCTACACACTTTTATATTTGACGAATGTATGGGTTGAGTAAAATAAAAGGAAGGAAGAAAGGATTTTATAGATGAGAAATTAAACGGTAAATCATACCACCTATGTAAAGGCCAGCTAGAGTCTCACACTCTCTCTCTCTCTCTCTTTATTTATTATTTATTTTTTTATTTATTAAAAAAACATGTGTATGTATAGGTAGTTATGATTGTGGCTCACATATTCCCTTGGTTTTACATCCAAAAACGGCTTAAACGCCCTTTATAGGTCAGGGATAGGCTTCCCATCCAGTTTTCTTAAAAACTGGCAAACATGGTCTTTTTTTGTCAGATTCTCAAGACTATGTAAATCATGTTTTTTATGGAAATGGGGCCATAAATCATGAATTTCACAATACACATCTTCACTAGGAAGCGTCTCAAGAGTTAATAGAAGATTATTTAAAGACTCCTTCCTCAGGCCATCCTTAATGAACTGTATTTTATCTTCACGATTTATAGATACCATTCCTAAAGAACGACATTATGTATTACAAGTCCATCTAGCACATCGATGACAGACTTCCAGTCATTTTGCACGACGCTTCTTTGCAAAAGTGCTTTTACCTGTTCCAGGCATGTGTGAAATGAAGGAATTAGAGGACTCGCCTGATAATTAGACCTTTGCTTCAATCAACTAGAAAATATCTTCAGAAATTCCATAATTCATTAACAATCTCAATCATACACATCTAGCACGGTAAATATTTGGAATTGCATTCTGAGGTAGAGTGGGAAAATAATTTTTTAATTTTTCAAAATTAGTGTTCATTTTCAAATGAGAATTGTAAGAGAGATTTATAGAATTGCACAAATATATACATAGATATCAGTAATTATGGGAAACTAAAACAACCGACTTAAGTCACAGAGTACTGTTGTCCATCATTTGACCAGGGTGAGAAAAACTAGAAAAACTCACTCAAAAATAAACATAAAAACAACGTGAGAGAGAAAAAAATAATCAACCTTTATCTACAAGATCATT